TTATCAAATAAAGTCTAATGTTACAACTAATGCTGGATCCCTTTTAAATTCAGAGCCACGTTTTTGGTCATCTCATCTGAAAAACCTTTAAACTGCTCTGTTTGATGTGTTTTTGTTTGTTTTTGCAGATTCTGAAGCCAGCAGATAAGAAACTGTATCCTTACGGTGGAGGGGGAGGGGTGGGCTTAGGAAGACCGGTCACCCCTCCCAGAAATTCAGCTAAAGCCGCCAAGGCCAAGAAATAACACCTGCTGAGTCCCCTCCCTACGACCTGCCGCCTCTGTCGGTCCAACTTTTCTTCTTCTTCTCTTCTTTTTTTGTTTCTCTCATGAGTTGCAACAACGTTCAGCCGTGTAACCTTTTTTAAACAAAGTTTAAATGTTTATTTGACTGTCTGTGTTTATTTTTGTTTGTTTATTTTGAACGTACGTGTGGAAAATGAGACTGACACCAGGAGTTTTCTGTATGTTTTATTTTCTTCCTGTCGTTGTTGTTTTTGTTTGTTGTTTATTCATCATGTAAATCACAGCTGGCTGCAGGACGGGGTGGGGGGGAGAAAAGAACCTGGGCTGGTTCTGTTCCTGAGCGTTTTGTAAATCCACGGGTCAGACAGGTGGGTCAGGTGGGGGCTGGAGGCGGAGCTGTCCAGTTAAACGGCACATAACCACACACTGGGTGCACAGGTGGAAACGTGCACGTTAATCCTTGGATTACACAGATTCACTATAAAAACTTTAATTTTTTTTTCTCTTTTCGATCTGAAAAGCACTTCTTTAAGATTATAGTCATGGATGTTATATAGAGTTGCTCTTTTCTGTTTTTTTTGTAGATAACCTTTTTGTTTCTTGCTTTTATTTTTAGTTCACTTGAAGCTGAAGACGAATAAAAAAATCTTTTATTTGAAAAACGTCATCATGATTATCACTTTGTCATATTTAGTGGCTAATTTTTCTCTTGTGTTTGACGTTCAGCTTGATTTAATAACATGTAAATACTGATCGGTGTCGTTCTGACCCAGATTATACGCAGAATTAATGATTTTTACGTTTTCCTTTCAGTCGCATTAAAACGTGAAAATTGTTTAAGAGAAATTAAGAGAAGTTGCTTTTTTTGAGCCTAAATAGCATTTTAAAGTTTATCTATCAGCTAATAACCTACAAATAAATCAGTGTAAGGTTTGTCATTATACTCTAGATATTTTTGTAAATATTCAGCTGTGATATAAAAGCAATAATCAAATGAAGTTGAGTTTTTAAACATTCTGAATCACTTTATTTGAATTGAAAACTAAAACAGAACTGGTAACAAGGAGCTCATGAGGAAGGACAAGTTTTATTTTGAAGTAGTTGCAGCAGTCCTTTAAAGCTTTTAAATGTTTGCAAATCATAGTTCTGATTTCATGAATGTATTTAAGATAAAGACCGATTTTTATTCACTTTAAATTTAGGTTTCAGCATCAAATCACGTCGTGCAGATCTGTAAAAGTTTGGACTGAAATCCTGATTATTTGAGACGTTTTCTGATTTATTATTTTAATTTTTCACATATTTCCTGTGGGGCCGAGATAAAACTTTAAACTGTTAAAAAACCCATGTTTTAAATTAAACTGTGACCCCTCAAACACAGTTGTCTCAATAAATATGTTTTTAAAAAGTCCTGGGTTTATCCTCAGGTTTAATCGAACATTTTCAGTCTCTTCGGCTGTTTTTGTAGCTAAACAAATTGGCAGCTGGTGACAAAATTTGCTTTTAATTTTTAATTTAAGGATCAGTTTGGTTTATAATTTTTTAATAACATTGCGGTGAGTACCTTTAACATCCTGAAATGTCCACTTTAATGTTTTTATTTTATTTCTGTGGATGTTCAGCTCAGATTCTGCAGTGTTTCAGGGTCATTTTCTATTTTACGTCTCCTTTTTTTAAAAAAGAAAGAAGTTATTTAACCCACCACCTGAGAATAATTTTATTTTAGTTTTCTGTGTTTTATTTTCCCTCTTGTCTGTAGCGTTCTAACAGGGTCGACCTCTGAATGAGGCGCAGCGTTCCTGGTGGGGGGAACAACAAAAACATCAGACTGGACTTCATCAGGTCCAGTTTCATGCCCAGAATCTGCTCAGGAAGTGAAGTTTTTAGTCCAATCTAAGTGCGTTTGTATCTGTTCTGATGAAAAACAACACATGCATGCACTCCTCTGCTGTGGGACACGTCTGTGTTTGCAGTTTCTGTTCATGCTTCATAAAACTGATCACTGAAACATGACTGTGGACAATAATCTGAGGGATTTTACTGAGAGAGAAAAACAATTATCACTGAAAAAACAACTTCAAACTGACAAAATTAAGAAATGACTAAAAACAGTAATTTAATTTGAGTTTTGTTTCAACAGAATTGTTGTAAAAACCAAACTCTTGGATAAAAGATGTTTTTACTCAAAGTTGTGCACCTGTCCACAGGTGAGGTGTTCAGGTCCACTCAGCTGTTTTAGTTGGTTTATTTGTGTGTTTTTGGGTCTTTATCCTGTTGGAGGACCTACAATCTCACAATGAACCGATTACCAGAGGTTTATAGTAACCAAGACGGGTTCTTCTCTAATGAAACGTTTCGTCTCTCCTCCAAAAGACTTCTTCAGTCTGAGAGTTTCAGGCAAAATTC